TCCGGGCCTCAACGTAAGCTATTGTAACCTGGCTGTTTTCTTTGATTCTCAAATAGACTGCGGGAATCACAAGATTAAGCAATATTACCCGTGCCAGCCCAGAATTGCTCATAATGTATGCGCGAGGACAAGGCGGTCAATTTGCCATGCCATCCCAGTTGGCACGCCACGTGCGTCGTTGAACTGCACGTGCCACAAGCCGCGAATCAGAACAAAGACAGTTTGCATAGTGTCGAAAAGCAGCGGAATGGTATGCATTCCAACTAACCCATCGATCATGATCAGCTGCCAAAACTTCGTGAGCTGCTTGTGCAAATACCTCTCCCAATACTGGACGCCACTGGCTCTCAGTTAGACGTTTCCTGGTAAATTAGGCTTGATGTTGTCTCTGCCGCGGCCGGCAGGATGGAGGGTAATTGAAGCACGTAGTTTCTACAAGAAACAACTGCTCTAAATGCAATTGCCTGTCGACATCGATGCAACATTTCCCATGCACCTGTAAGGACGCCCAGGGCAATGCAGATTGATACTGGACGCCACTGGCTCTCAGTTAGACGTTTCCTGGTAAATTAGGCTTGATGTTGTCTCTGCCGCGGCCGGCAGGATGGAGGGTAATTGAAGCACGTAGTTTCTACAAGAAACAACTGCTCTAAATGCAATTGCCTGTCGACATCGATGCAACATTTCCCATGCACCTGTAAGGACGCCCAGGGCAATGCAGATTGATCTCACACGCGGGCGCTCTGAAAGCTTTAGCGCATGCCAATCGCAACCCGGCCATCGCCTCGTTAGCAAAAGGCAGGCGCTTTGTTGAAAGAAATCTGATCATTTAGACACTTCCAGACATGTGTTGAAACGGGTTCACGAGGATTTGTGCCGCGGGTAATCAAACCGACCAAGTAGATGGTAAACCAGAACCTGTCACAGGTCACCTGTATTCGCGTCGCAATTCAACAACGGCGTTAGGTGACCAATAAAGCGGCAGATCGTCATGGTTCTGAGTGTCCTCAGATAAGCTTAACTAATAACAGTGACGCACCCAATTGATGTCTGATCCACGGAATGCTTCCGTCCATCGCCCTTGGTATCACATCCGCAGATTTGCACTGCATACAGCAGGCCTTGGCTGTTTGTTACCACTGTGGAGAACCTATTGGAAAACGCGGCACATGTTGTAGCTTCCTTGCAGCCCCTGGATGTCTCCAATTGCCAGTCCAACGCCAAAAATCAATTGGGATGGAAATGACAGGAGGTGAGGAAACGAGTTTGAAATAGGCAGTTGCATATGGACAGGTGAATGCATCAAGCATTGGCATCTCAAATAGAGAGATACGAGCAGCATGCAAAGGCGTAAAATGGCGCGAGAAGATCTTTCAAGCAATTGTCGCCAAACTGTGCGCGTGGTGATTTAGGAACCAACTTGCTATGGTATGATTATGCACGCCCAACACGCATTCGCGCACAAGGCCCACGCGCAGGGAGAAGCTTCAAATTTCCGTGACGCAATTCCTCTTGTCGCGCAGGGCCAAGTCCATGAAAGAAGGGGAATTTGAGCTGGGCACCTTTGGCACGACTTGGCAGCAACGGGTCAAAGACATGCCTCGAATATCCACCCCTGTGGAAGTGAGAAAACTTGGGCACTACCATTTTAAAGGAATCAAGGACTCCATTGGTGTATGTCAGGTGCGGCAAGAGAAAAAAAAGTGCACCAGCCGTGTCCATAGCCAGGGTCAGGTGGATTTGCCCCAGTTCAATGCTGCTTCACCACGTGGTAAAGCTTGACTATAGAAACGTTATATGGAAAACGGAGACAGAACGGGTCATGGATCTCTTCAGTTTGTGGTACGACGTGGGTCACAGCTTGTTTCAGTGGCGTTGTGCTCTGGATATGCAATGTGTCTGCTGCTTTGGACCGTGGCGAAGGGGATGATCAGCGAATGGTTGCAAAGAGCGTGCAAAACGTACTTTCGATTGCACGTTTTGTTCTCATTTTAGGGCCGCGTTGGAATTAAGTGGCATGATCTAGAGGTGGCCACCCGGATCCGTTAATAGCGGACAGAGGTTAATTTCCGTTAATTTCCGTTAATTAAAGGAAAATAACGAAAAAAGACAAAAATTAACCAAAAATTAGCGGATTTTTGGATTTTTTGGGGATTTTTGGGTTTTAGTCATACTTATAGTTTATGGAATTCGCCATTAGAGAGTATGTTTGTATTTTATTTCAACCTATGCATACTAGATTTTCAACTAGCCGCAGTTGTTGTGATTTTTTGGGTTTTTTTTCGATTTTTGATTTTTCTTTTTTTCTGAATTTTTCTCCCTTTTTCTTTAACGAAATTTAACGGACAGCTGATAAAAATTAACGAACCGGATTTAACGGACCGGATGGCACCTTTGAGTGGCCACCTCTACTGGGGTGGGGGGGTGGGGAGGAGGACGCTTGAAGCTCATGTCGTTGCCATAAAATCGACACAAGCTGAGGGTAATACCAGACAAACAGCAGACAACAGTCTGAGGTGTTCCAAAATCTCCCTTGGATGTTCACTCACTGAAATCCCAAAGATATTCCAATTGACAGATTTTCGGGGCCGCAAGTACAAACAACTGCTATAAGGTATTCAGCCTTTTGCCAAAGAGGGTCTGCTATTGTGTCACAGACTTGCCGTTGCCTTGTCTTTGGGAAAGGCGGCCACGGTGTCCTGAATGCAAGCGACCATCTAGAGGTGATGGAGATGGTGGATGTGATGTTCTGTGACTTCGCTGGCGACTGCCTAAGTGTGCGCATCCAGTATCCGAGATCTGGTACTCGCCCAGGCGCAGTCTTGACAAGACAATGTCCCTGGCTTTGGACTGCACGACACTGCAGACCATGTTTATTGCCAAACGTGCTGGCAATGTGCTCGGGGCAACAGAGTTCACAGAATGTCCATTAAACTTGTGACTCCCGGCAGCTCATTACCGGAAGGTGAATGGGGAGCTGGTGGCTTCCCAGTCACCCTCAGAGAAAATGTTCGAATTTGCAACGACTGGTTGCAATCGGCCATTGCAATCAATTGGTTGCCTCCAGAAATGCAGTAAAGGTGACGTGTGCACAAATGCCCGATACCCTCCGTGTTTTAGACATCAGGGTCATGAATGTCATTTTCGCGTGTCTTCTGCACTCAGTTCTCAGGGCTCTCGTAAGCTTCAAGGCATGCGTGACGCCTTCACAACCTTCATGTCCGGAAACGATGGGTGCTGGACAAGTGCAGGGCGCTGCCCCCACACCAGTTGTTTCTTTCTCGTTTCGTGTTCCCGTTGTGTTGTGTGGTTGGGGTGCGCAACATTGGCGCCTTGCAGAGCTGAGATTCGAGGCTGTGGGCCTACTATGACCTGCTAGGATCTATTAAGATGCCCACTAGCACAGGACAGAGATTTCCCACTTAATACTGCAGCACTTCACGCAACACGCCAGCAGCACCAGCAGCGGCGCGCGGTCGCTTGGCACTCAAGCCTGACTGTGGGCCCCATGGTCCCTCCCTGTGCAGGTCCTCCCGCAGTGTCTGGCAGGGCGCCACTGTGAGTTTCAAAGGGGCCTGAAGAACAGCAAGCTGGGGGTCGCTGAGAAGAAGGCCAAGATCCCGACCGTTACACCTGGAGAGGGGCAGGTGTTCACGACGACGGTGGTGGACCCAGGGCACGTGGTGACCGCCAGCATGCTGCAGTCCAGCTACATCAAGACCAACAAGCAGAAGGTCATGCGGAGGCTCAGCATGAGTGCATCCCCCAGGCGTTCACTGTCGCAGTAGTGTGGCGTCTCCCCAGCCATCCCGATCGCGGACCTGGAGGGCCTGGGGGCTAGTGTCGCACGGCTGCGTTCGGGCAGGGAGGGCGTGCAGGGTGGCAAGGTAATCGCCAGTTGGGGCCGGGTAGGCATGGGTGGGATAGATTTGCAGTGTCTGCCTCGATTTCCCGCGCCAGCACCTGTGTGCCCAGGCGGTGCAAAGGCAATGAGGGCATCCAGGCAAACGACAAGCGGGTCTTGAGTACCTCCACAGATCCAGCGGAGAAAGCCACCTCGACCCCGACGTGCGGCATCCCTGCACAAGAGCAACTCGACTTGCAGGACTCTGGGCGAGAAAGGCGCAACCACTTGGCATGGGGGCCGTGGTTGCAGCAGGGGGACCTGTGACACTCTCCCACCCTCCAAACCTACCCCATGTCAGCAGCAAGTCTGCCACTGCTGGCAGTTGGGTAGCCAGGTTGCCAGACACAAGCCACATGCCAAGAAGGCCTCTGGAGACCCAGCAGCTGTGCCAAATACGACTTTCAGTGCATTGGTGCACAGACCTATCCGCGCCCACTGACACCCACTGCACTAGCGGAGAAACAATGTGCTTGGCAGCCACAAGAAGTTCAGAAGCTATGGTCATGCATCGAGGCCCGACCTCAGCTGACCACTACATGTGCGCGTCTTGGGGGTGCTGTTCAAGGAGACATGCAAGTTGAGGTTGTATGGTGCCAAGTATGGACAGAATCTTTGCGCAACACTGTTGAATGTTCCTGGACTGTGGCGATGCCAAGGCAAGGCACGTGACAGGAAGGACCATGACTTCCTTGGGGAACAGCAGGGACAAATTTGTACCCATGTGACCAAAGTGTCACTGTTTGAGCAATCAAATGATAGTGGTTACAAACTGCAAGCACCTTGTCAACCAAGGGGTGAGCGAAGGGCTGGGGTTTCATTATTCAAGTTTTTCCGGCTCGCTTCACACAACAACACCAGCGCCTCAAGCTCATTTCACAATCTGAAACCAGTGCAAACTGCCAAATTGAAACAGCGCATTGCAGCACTCACAAATGCATAAGGTGCTATGGCCCTGCTGTGCAGCACACAATTTCAGGGCCATGCTGGCACTTGCAAACTGTTTGGACCACACTGAAGGTCAGAGGCGTGTCTGGGGGCACTTGGCCCCATCTGTGGCCCCCTTATTTCCACCTGCAAAGGTACAGTGCCCAAATCACACTGCCACATCAGGGTTCACCAATTCACCACCTTTGACGGACAGCGCGATGTCCCAATAGTGCCCAACTTTCATCTCGTTCAGATACTTCTTAGCCGCCAGGCCAGACTTGAACTGCTCCACTTTGAACTGTTCAAAATTGCGCTCTTTGATGAAGCCATCAAACAACAAGAAGCATCCCGTTCCCCGAGCTTCTGATTCCTGCACTTCCAGATCAGCTTCACCCAGTACTTCTGCATCTTCAGCCTTGTCCCACTGGACCCGCTCCAGCATCAGCTTCCGGTACCTTCGAATCGACTTTCGGCAGCCCTCCACGATCACCAACGCAAATGCGTCACCAATAACACAGCAACCTGTCAGTCGGTTTTGGACAGCGTTCACCTCCACCTTGAATCTATTCCTCGGATTAGAAAGGTCCAGGACCTTGAACACACACACCTGCACAATGAAATCAACAACCTCAATAAAGCCAAACAGTATGGGCACATCGGCTTGCAAATTCACCCAGTCTGCATTCCTTGATGTGAATATGTGATAACATATACCTATGGGGTACCATGCTGAAATTCTGTACCACCAGGTGCATATTTCTGGAGTGTGCAAAAATATTCCCACAACAACAGGACAAATCCATGGACGCAACATTTTGTGCCATCTGCAGCATCCATGGCTGATTGTTAATGCCACAATGTCACTGGGGTTCACAAGACACCTGCACTCGGCTCCAGTGCTTGAAACAATAGTTGGTATCCAAACTGTCCGTGTGCCTCAGCATCGCTCTGTTGCGACCATGCACGATCGCCCACAGTTGTGGATGCTGCTGACACAGCAACGCCTTTCTGTGCAGCATCACTGTGGTGGAATCATGCTATGTTAGCAAACGAGCAGGAAGGAGAATCAAGAGGCTTGTAGCACCATGCCTAGATCTGTATTCCCATGTGCTGCCCTTTCGTAGCACGTGGACTGGGGGTGAATCTGTGCTCAAAGTTCATGACCAGTGCTGTGCTCCATTCAAGGGAATTTGCTGTTCCAAGCGGGGCATAGGGTGCAAAACGGTGCCAATGGCAGCCTCTCCAGCAGCTGTGGTCATGGCTCAAGTTGCTGCGGTGCCATTACCATGGCCACAGATTCAGGTACTTGTGGGTGGCTGTAACTGGCACCGCATCTTCAACCCCCACCACTTTGCCATATTTCTCAGAGGGAAAGAATCGCGCCCTGTCCACATTCTGTGGATGTTCAATGACGTTGTGATAGAAGGTACTGAATGCCACAGCTCTGTCGTCCGCTCACTGCACAATGCCAACAGACTGTCGGCATCGGAGCCTGGTTTGTAAAACAATGAAGCATATCCTCCCTCACCCACAAAATCCTCCACTCTCAAAACCAAGTGGCATACCAATCGGGAACATTTCAACTGGCTCCATATCTGCACCCAGGGAGCGCAGTCCTGAAGCTCTCACACCAAGCAGGCAGCGCAAATCACTCACCTGGACATCGACGCCGTTATCATCAAACATTTTCTTTAGCTTTTTCTTGTTCTTTTCCGATGGTGTCAGCTTTCGTGCAAGGTTCCTGTCTTCATGAGCCTGTGCCCTCTCCTCCATCTGCTTTCGCACCTCCTTCTCTATCTTGGTGGGGTCGGCGGCAGCCTGCTCGGACAACACCCTCATCATGTTCGAAATCTTGATCTTTGGCTTGGGGGGCTCCAGCAGCCCCTGTCGCACGAGCTCCTGCTTCTCCCTCTCCCTCTGCTGCCGCCTCTGAGTCCTCAGCTTGCGCATCTCCCTCTGCGTAAGCTTCAAGGGCTGCGGCGCGGGGGGGGGCAGCTCCGCGGGGGGGTCCAACGGCACGGGGTGCTCCACATAGAGTGTCACCTTGTTTTCGCGCAGGCTTACAGCATCGTCCCCAAGGTCCTCCTCATACGACCCATTCGCCAGGATCAGCCTATCCCACCACTCAACGTCGGGCACGTCCTCCTCCACCGCCTCCTCCTGCTCCTCATCCATAACCTCATCCTCGGCAGCCTCCTCCTCGCCCTTCTCCTCTTCCACCTCCCTCCTGTTCACCACGTCCAGGAACCTCTTGATGTCCTCCGGATCCACCCCCTTGAGGCCCCTGACCCTGCCCTGGCTGATCTTCCGCGCAGTCTCCTCCCCATACTTCACCTTCAGCCTGCCCAGCTCTGCGTCCTTCTGGAACTTGCCCTCCTCCACGAACCACAGCGCCTTGCGCTTCTTGACCAGGGCCTTCTTGAGGCCGGACAGGCCGATGTGGGGGTCGAAGAAGCGCTGTGCGCCATCGCTGGCGGCCGCCTGGACGGGGGCGGCCTGCGGCCGAGCCGGCGGGCCCACCACTGCGAAGACGGGCTGAGCGGGAAGGGCTTCCGCGCCTGCGGGCAGGGCACGGCATGAGCGCACACGCTAGCTGACACCGCAAGCCAAAAACACACCCGCCGAAGCAGATAACGCGACAAAACAAAACTTAGAAAGCGAAATCAGAAAATCGGGTGAAGGGCAGCCAATGGATCGGGCCGTGGTGAGCCCATTGGGGATGGGTGGGGCGGTGACCGCCGCGCAGGGCGACGGTTCTCCACCCTGAGGTTGTGTGCGCTGCTGTGGTCCGGAACCGGCTGGCGCCGGGAGGGTGCGACTCACGGGCGGGGCCGGCGACGCCTTGGGCGCCCGCCTTCAGGGCCTGCAGCTTGGGGTCATTCTTCAGCTTGTTGGCCGCCTGGAGGAGGCGCTTCGCCCGCTCGACAACATCGGCGGCCACCTTGGGGACGCCGCCCACGCGCGGCCTCTTGCTGTCCGCCCGGTCGCCGGCGCCGTCGGCCGCGCGCTTCTCCGGCATGGCGCGACTTCAGGACGCTGTTTCGAAACTGGAGGCAGGCAGGCACCGAAGCGCAGGAGGAGACATGACGGCGGCCAAGTTGTCTTGCTGGTTTTGGGCCCGGTAGGTGGTGTAGTAATCGGCGAAGTCCCCAACCGAACAACTACCAGTCAAACTGGGACTTTCAGCTGTTGTCTGCTTCCATAAAGAAGTCAAGAAGTTCAGCAGAGAGCATTTTGAACATATTCGCTCACATCGCGGCTGGCTGGTGACATAGTGCATGTGTGTGCAGGTGTATGTACGTGAGGCATGTCGGAGTGGGGAGTGGAATACAAAAAGTGTTTCCATTTCAGTTGGCGTGCGGAGTCCCATGTACGCTTTGATGCAAGGACATTGGCCCCTCAGGCGGTTTCCCCCTACTGTGAACAATTGAACCGTGTTTCGCTTTCAACAAACACGGAGGTCACCACCGGCAGAGGCACCGCCAAGCATATATCTCGAGAATACAACCTGATGTGGCAATACAGTGCATCCAAAAGACCATGTGCGACGATCTGAAAATTCGGGAGCGAAGCAAAAGCTGAGCACTGCCGCATGCACGCGACAAACAAAACACATCCAGGTCTGGTGGGCCGCAGCCTCTGAAGAAAATCTTGCTTTACACAAAGGACTCCACAGCAGGCACGGCGCGGCATTCTGTCAGAACGCCAGGCGGCGACAGCACCGAGCAGTCTGAAAGTTCCTTTCGACTGCCCCTGCACGCACAGGGATCGCCTATCTATTTCCTGCAGCTGATCCGGCCACGGTGTCCGCTCTGTGGTCCCTTATCACGGGCGAGGCGCCTTCAGATGATTTGCCTTCAAAATGGCGCCAGAGCACAACACCACAGATCCCAGTTCACGGCGGAATGCAATCGCACATATTACAAAATCTCTGTACGCTACCACTCTGGCGCCTCAGGCCCTGCCGCGCTCGCCACGCCGATCCACCGAATCCAGACCTGTCCTACACTTCATCATGCTCTACAGCCATTAAAGCCTTGCCAAGGCTGATGCCCAAGTTCAGAATGTCCCACCCTCCACTGCGAAGCCCCGGTGCCAAAAGCAGCACATCAGGAACAGTGTCGGCTTCACTCCCTTTCGATGGGGGACTGATAATCCAGGCGGCCCATGGGCCAGAAAGTAAAGCGGTGGAAAACGCTCTGCTGTCAACCCCAAGCGGCTGGCGCACAAGGCAATCACCTCTCCTTGAAACATGCACGACTTTCCGTACATTGGGCCACCGGGTGAGTCGACCAATGCCCCATGCTCACCACACACTCCCATGCCCTCTAACACAACCCTGGTCGCAGCACTGGCGCTGGCCAAGGCGCCCTGTCCATTCAGCTGCACTGCAGCACGAAGTTCACAGAAACAGAGGCGATGGGGGAGGGGTAAGGGGGGACAGAGGTGCGATGCTACAGGCCCCTCCCAAAAATTCAACGAGTCTTAACTGTGCTTTCCCCACTGCTCCTTATTGCCCCGTCCGCATCAAACACTGCTCGTATGTGGAATATGCACCAAACCGGCAGCGCCAAAACAGCCCAACAATGCAGCACTGCACAGCAGCCGCCAAATGCAATTCACCCAAAACACAGAGGTTAGCGCAACTGCTGATTGCACGCAAACTGCCAAACAGGGGCCATTGCGTGTTGCCAGCAACAAGAGTCCAGCTGACTGTTCTCAACTATGCTGGTGTGTTGATGCCCTGTTGCCGATCGCTGTTCGAGACAGCAAAGATCTCACTGTGGATTGCCACATCACCACACACCGATGCTGCCATCATAGGAGCCAGAGAACACCTTGCCGTTGGCAGCCGCAAGAACCCGCACTGCGTCATCATGCCCCTCACACTTCTTCACGCACCGGAGAGCCTCAAGGTCCCAGAAACGGACTGTCGTGTCGTATGATCCTGACACAAGGTTGCGGTCGCCCACTGCAAGTGCCAGCACTGCCTCACTGTGGCCCTCCAGTTTCTGCACCATCAGGGCAAAGCAGGCTGAAGTGCAGGGTGGCTGGGCAGCAGCACTGTGCTATGCACACTGGACTGACACCACTATTCAAAGTACATACTGGTTGGCTTTTTTGAATGGGGAGAATGTCAGCGCAGCAAAACGGGTGGGGATGGGAGGGACAAGTCGTTGGCGATGCAGTCGCAAGGGCACCAAAGAGTTTACTGAAAGGAGTACTGCCAAGTAGCGAGTACAACATAAAGCAGCACGCCAACTGTGCAATCCGATCTCCACAGAACACAACAACAGATAGCCCACATGATATTTGGGCAGACAAGTCTGTCTGTTCCACAGCGGCTCACAAGGCTGGCAGCTACCAAGAAAAATGGCAGAGCAGATTCTGTTTGTTCACCTCAAGCACACAACAACAGGCACAGATATGGTGACAGCCACAGCATGCAGACATGCACACAATGCCCAAATACAACACCCTGAGAAATGAAAGCTCCGCCAGCAATGAGAACCCATAGGCATAAAAGCAGAAATTCGGCTTACCTTGATGCACTCGATGGTCTCAAGATCCCAGACCCGTATGGTCTTGTCCCACGACCCAGAGAACATGTACCTATCGCCCACGGCCAGAACCCGCACATTGTCCTCATGCCCCTCCAGGGTCTTGATGCACTTCAGGGTGTCTACATCCCAGACTTTGATCGTGTAGTCATCTGAGCCTGAGAACACATGCCGCCTGCTGGCTACAAGGGCACGCACAGCCCCACCATGCCCTGTGAGGGTGGCCTTGCAAAGGAGGGTGGTCACATTCCAGACCCTCACCGTCTTGTCATAAGACCCAGAGAACATCAGCCCCCCGGCGTACACTAGCGTGCGCACGGGCCCTATGTGCCCCTTCAACACCTGCAGGCACTCGAGTGTCTCCACGTCCCACACGCGCACTGTTGAGTCGTACGATCCAGAGAACAAGCGATTGTCGGCGACGGCAAGGGCCCGCACAGCATCTGTGTGGCCCTCCAAGGTCTTGATGCGCGTCAGCGAGTTCAGGCTCCAGACCTTGATTCTGTAGTCATAGGAGCCCGAGAAGAGCTTGTCGCCGGCAATGGCCAGGGACAGCACAGGGCGGGTGTGGTCTTCGAGAACTCGCTCGCACCGGCGAGACTCTATGTCCCACACGCGAATCGTCTTGTCTGCAGAGGCAGAAAACAGGCGGTTGCCATGCACCTCCACTGCCCACACGATCTCCTCGTGCCCCTGAAAGGTCAGAATTGGAGGCGGTTCAGATATCAGTGCTAGTCTGCCACAAGGTTACCAGGCATGAACGCTGGAATCCAATCTTAGCAGCAGGTCATGACCATGCCGTTTGGGGCAATGCATTCTGTTCCCAATGTAAAGCCCCACAACTATGCCCGAACACAGGTTTTGAAAGCGCAAGAGCTGGCACTGCAATAGCTCAACTTTTGTAGGCAGGCGCGGCCACAGAGCTGCATCCGAGGGGAACAGCAAAGCAATGCAACAATGGGAATAACAAACGAGTGCCCATCCCAACTCGCAGTGTTGGAGACAGAAGGATACAGCTGACCAATGTGTGGCAAATGAAGATATACGCCCTCTACAATACGTGGATGTGCGTCCTGCTTCAACAGCCTGAAGAATGTATTGACTACGTGAAAGGCTGCAGTGCAGGTCAGACCCCCAAGCTGCCATAGCCAGCCCAAACACGTGCAACCATCCATTCAAGGCAGCCCACCTGCAGAATATTCCTTGGCCGCTGATCCTGGTAGTGGATGGGCGCATTCACCCGGTTGCCATCATTCCTGAGCTTGACACCGTGCGCGGTTGCCCATTCCTGAGAACAGCACAGGTACCAACACGTGTCACTAAGCTCAGGATCAGAGGCTTGCTGCAGCAGCCTCCAACAAAACGAAAGAACTCTGGTGCATTTATTGTCAGCAAATGTGGGCCACAAGCCAGGAGAATTGAGTGTTGAAGTTGGAAGTTGTGTCCACTGCCCAGCTGTAAAGCCCACCATAGCAAAGAACTAGCCTCTGTGAAAAGTACCAACAAGTTTTAGCACTTCCAGGGCACCAACAACCAAACAGCCAACTCCTGGAGAGCATGCAACTAGGCAGGATCCACACAAACAAGCTCAATGTTGCATGTGGAAGTGGTGTGGTCATATCCAGCCATGTACCTATTCTGTGTTGTGACCCCTGTTATGAGGGCAGTGGGAAAAGAGACTGTCAGCTGTTTCACGACAGCAGCAGAGAAGAATTCAAAATGAAATCTGCAGGGCACGCTGAAAGTATAGTTTGGGGGGTATGGCCTGGCCATTCAACAGGATCACCGATGCCACAGCCTAGGAGAGGCACTGCTTGGCACAAATGGATATGAATACAAGCCATTTGATGAAACAAAGTCCAAGACACCACGCAATCAGGGAATGCCTGTTCTTTGCATTGTGTGTGCCTTGTGACGCCACGAACATCGCTGAACACGCCTCTGACTGGTTGATTTCATACTTGTGGCCAAGGGAACAGAAGGGCCCACCAACTGTTTACACCAGCAAGCATCAAGGATTGATAGGGCCACCGCAGGCTTGTTCCTAATTTTCGCCAACCAAAGAAGCACCTTGCCAGCAGGGACCGGCAGGCGAATGCAGAACAACCACCAGGGGATTCGCAGTTCCCAGGAGCCACGCTTGGCCAACGCACACGGACGCCGCTGCAGAGGCCCAGCGCCGTCGGCTGTGTGCGAGCAGCCACGTCGCAGGCGTTGTGCCTCCGGGCTGCCCACAAGGATGCAACCATTCGCGTGGGATGTCCAACCCCACAAATACAGTTATCCAGCATTGAGGGTGGATGCCAACGCCCGCACGCGAGGTCCCGCCGTGCGCACCAACCCAGCATCCATGATTCTCATGGCAGCGGCCACAGCAGCCAGACGCCAGGAAGCAAAATGGCTAAAAAGGGAAACACCTCGCGTCTATGCCACCCACGGCCATCGCCACACCCACCTGTATCGCGTTCCGCAGGGCGAAGTTGGGCACGAGCTCCAAGTGGCGCAGGCGCTGCCCGGTCACCGGGCACGTCCTGTGGCCCTGCGCCAGCCAGCGCTCGATGCACTCCTTGTCATACGTGTGCCCCGTGGCCACCATCACCGGTTCCGACATCAGCTCCATGGAGATTGGGCAGTAGAAGCTGCTGGGCGCCTGCGGCGCGCCCTTTTCCCCCCCGTTGGGACTGCCGCTGCTCCTGCGGGGCGCAGGCGGGATCGGCACTCAGCGCAAGCATGAGGTACGATGAACCCGCACTCGTCGGCGGGTGCGGTCACCGCCTTCCTCAACCCCCCGCCCCCCACCCCCCACCCCACTCCCGCGCCTCTCCCTTCGCCAGGCGCCTCCGCCCGCCAGCCCGGCGATCCTCACCGGGGCCCCGCCGGGCCGGAGGCGGACGCGCCCGCCCGCCAGCCCACCAGGACGGCGCGGCACCCGTCCCACAGCGCCCCGCCAGCGGATCCCAATCCACACACGCACACCCCGCTGCGCACTCCGGCTCACGACAAACTCCCGTAAAACGACCCCCAAGAGGGCAGATTCCCGAGGGGGCCCGTGCGCGTCCCGCACTCCCCCCCCCCGCCGGGACTTGGCCAAGGCGGGGCTCCTCACCCGGCTCCGTTCTCGCTCGCCTTCGTGGGCGCGTCCGCGCCATCCGGGCACTCCGACGGGCTGCCCGGCCCGCCCTCCGGCGGCCCCTCGCCGCCCTCCTCCCCGCTCCGCCGCTCCTCGCTGCCGCTGCAGCCCAGGAGAGCCTTCACCTGCCGCATCCTCCAGCGGCCGCCCCCACCGGGACGGCCCCACCCGGATCCCGGGGCGCCCCCTTGGCCCCCCCGATCGCCGCGGCCCCCGGGCCTGCGGCCGCCGGCGGGCCGTGAGGCGATCGGGAACACCGGCGGATGATTTTCCGCACCCTGCCGGCCGCACTCGCGCCGGGAAGGGCGATGCGGCGCTTCCTTTCAACGGGGGGGGAGGGGTTGACGGGAGGGCGGATGCCCCGGGGGGGGCCGCGGGGGAGTCGTTGGGGCTCCTCCGAAGCGCCCGGCGCGGCGGGTGCCTGGGGGGGGGGATCGGGGGCGGGGAATCACGGGCGAGAGTGAAGGGCACGCACAGGGGGCCCACCACACACGGCCTGTCGGCGGGCGGGTGCCGGAGGGCATTTGTCGGGTAAAAAGTTCGCGGGCGACACGTAAACTAGCGGGGCGGATCCAAACCGGATGAGACTTCCGGTACAGCGGCCAGTACGACGCGGAGAGGGGGGAGTGCGTCAGGCGCTTGGGGTTCCTGTTTGGGCCCTCCAGCACCTGACGAATCCAGGGGACTGGGCCTGGTGCTCTTTCGGCCTGCGTTGAACGCGGAGGCGTGGGGGGGCTGCCCTGGGCGAATGCGGCGGCACACTGGCAAAGCGTGCTTTGACTCGATTTGCCTTCCAAAGGCGAAGGCCAGCAATCCTGGCAAGTTTGCATTTTGGTTGAGGATTGGGGAGTGAGCCTTTCGTGGAAGTGGCATTGGATACCGTTCACGTGTGCTGACAGCCTGCATGCAGTTGCATGTTGTTCAAACAAGGAGTGCTGGGTGTTTGCCTTTCCCGGTGTTTTGGGGCGAATGCACGTGATGTGCATCGTCAAGGCTGTTGTTGAATGCATTTTGAGGTACTTACGCCAGGGCGACTGCAAAATCTGTTGGAGATCGACTGTGGCCGCACATCTCCACTCTTTTGACTGCTGCTCGGGTCAAAATATTGTATGTGTGAAAGCGTTGATAAGCTGATGCCAAATTGTGCTGGCAAGATGTGCTACCATTGGGCATCGAATTCTGAGCACACCAAGGGAAGGCGCTATGTCGATTTTGTTACATTTAACAGTAATTTACTGTTAAGCTCAGCCCTCTCCCCCCACCCCCCCTCCACCCCCTTTGCGTCAATCCTTATGTCGATGCCAGGCTGACTCAGAAACATTACCTAACGGTGGGATACGATTTCTAGCTGTTTTTGAGAAGAAGAAACGCTCTGAGTTGTACAAGTTTTTGCAGGCTGAAAAACAGGATTTTTAAGGCCATTATAGGCAAGACGGACAGCCTCAATGGCTATAAAACGACACCGTATAAGGGAAGACGTTATTTTGAATTTGGTACGACTAGCCTCAATGTGACAAGCTCAGACTCTCCCCCCACCCCCTCTTAGCGTCAATCCTTATGTCGATTCCAGGATGACTCAGCGACATAACGTAACAATGGTACACAACTTTAACGTAGTTTCAAGGGGAAAAATGACCGAAATTGTGGCGATTGCAGCGATTTGAAAAGTTTGACGCCAAAGGCCATTATAGGCGATGCGAACAGCCTCAAAGACTGAAAATTGATCCATTGTAGAGACCTCCTCGAAGATGGAAAGTATTCAGGGAGGTTTGGCAACAAGCCGTGAGCTATCTGCCACAGATCAATGGCGTTTTTTGTGCAACTTCCCTAATTATTTTGAATTTACTGCAATTACATAATCTCTTAGCGTCAATGGCTGGACCTCTACCTGCCTCAACATGAATTTGACGTTAAGCGTACTAAGTTCAAAATAGCGTCTTCCCTAAGGACTTACTTGAAGACTGAACATTTCAGGGACGTTTAAGAACAAGTCACGAGTGTTCTGCCGCTGATCAGCAGCGTTTTGAGGCATGTTTCCATCTTATGTCGATTTTGTTGCGATGATATAATTTCTTAGCATCACGCACATCCGATCTCCCACAAATACACGCCCCTCAGCGCCAAATTGACCATAGGTGTACATTTACAATAATCGACATGGTGTCTTCCGTAATATTCCTTCAAAGACAAATTATGCATTTCATTTTTCAAAACAACAAAGGGAGGTTCAGACGAAGAATCTTGAGGGGGTACAGCGGAAACCACGAGATCGATACGTTTTAGGATACGGGGCTGCGAGAACCCTATTTTCTTCACTGCTGCAGATAGATACGCAATGTGCATGGGTGCCAATTCAGTCACAGAACCCAGACAAGGCAGGTTCCACTTCGAATGCACAAGCACACGTCCCCAGGAAGACACGCCAACCAATGCTGGACGGAAACATCTGGACGCCTGGAGCCCTGTGTTGACGCTGAGGCTGCCTCGAGCAGATTAGCCCAGATTAGTGACGCTGTGACTGAATCGATTATTGATGAAAGGTCAAGGTTGGGCGTTCGCGCCAATCTGGTCGATCGCAGCTGCAATGTGCGAGGTGTGAAGCGCTGTCGACGGTGGAGGAATAGTCCATGTTGCTCAGGCGACTGTCCAGTCTCTGTGCATCCGCGCACAACCAGAGAAAAGCTAATATCATACAATTGGACACACCTCCCACCGAAGTTTGCCAACACCAAATCCCACGCTCTTCAATGCAAGGGGCCTCAGTTTTCGGCGATTTGTTTCCGCTCATCACCTCCCTGAGGGCATTTGGAGGGGTGTTTGAGGCGTTAGCGCCCCCTCTCGCAGCGCCCCCGGTACATTGGCAGTGGGGCCAACTGCACCCCATTTTCTCCTGGCGGCGCGCGCTTTCTCCCGCCCTCCGTGCCGCGTTATGCAAAGCCGGCGGCCGCCAGTCCCTCGGGGCCCCCTCGTGAGAAGCGAGGTTTAGAGTTTTATCAGAGGTGAGCAGCAGTCTGGAGGCCCTGATTCCGGAACGAACAATTATATTCCAAGAAAGTTTATGAAAATGAATATCCCGGAAACGCCCGATCCCGCAAAGTGAAAACGATTCATCAGTGCCCGGGTGGTTCTGGGAAGGGTGGCAGCCAGCCCAGCCCGTCCTGTTGATGAGTCCTGAGCCCAGCAAGAAGAGTAGCCAAGTGGACTGGAAGGTGTAGAGTTTTGATCCATAGGCGTAAGTTCCCAAAAGTCAGAGCAAAGGCGAGCAAGAGGCTTGACGGGAATGGCAGTCCCATAAGGTGTTTTGACAGGTAAGAGAGGAGCAAGAGTCTAGTTAAGAGGGATTATTGAAGATCGCCGGCGGAAGTGGACGGCAGAAGAGGGTGCGCCGGCGATCAGGATTAGATTATCGTTTCCGCTGATCATACGGCCGGCGTTCACGCTGGGGGGCACGGGCGGCGGGATAGCGTACAACCTGGAGGAGTTCCACGCCATCGTGGAGGGGGGTTTGGAGGCGTCCATGACCACGCAGGTGGGCTTGGCTGATGGGTCGCAAGGGGGAGCCGCGCACTGGCTGTTTGTTGCTCCGCTGGCTGGTGTGTGAATGTGCAGGGGGGCCATGCCAGGGGTACGCGTCGATCAACGATCCGTGCCCCCTGTGCAGATGGATAGCTTCCCAATTAGGGACAGTCAGTGGCCCTGTACTCCACAATACACGGAAAACGACGGAGGGGGGATAGAAGTTGTTTGATGTCACACATCGCGGTGTGCTATTTTACTTGGAGATCACAACTTTTGGAGTTTAGGGTGTGTTGGGATTCAAAGTTGGTGTGTAGAGGTTAGTGGGCTATCCGATCGAAACGAATGCCACTGTGTCATCGTCCCATGCCGCCAACCAAGACATCACACGGCTGTCCATTTGCTCACTACCTTGCGTTGCGTTTGCCTTGACAAGAAAGGCAGGGATCCTTGCATATCCAGAGTGCTTGTCTGTCATTCATTCATTCATTAGTTTTTCTGCTCGTAACCTTTCTGCGATGCATACAAATGGCGGTCGAAGAGAAGGAAAAGAAACGAGAGGGCATTTAAGTAGCAGATACACCCACGTCCTGGTTTACCTCAATGTCGTCTGTGAATGCCATTTCCGATTTGGTCACCAACTCTAATACTCTTGACCTTGTGTTGGCCAGCAAGACTGTGTGTAGTACTCCATGGCAAAAGGATGATGGACACCTGAGAAGACCGAGCGGACTGCCCCTTGTGCTGCGACTCACATGGTGCCCAAATCTGGACAGCCATCTCCCCTAAACAGCCTATCCTTACAGGTGCTTTTGTTGATGTACTGAAAAAGTGTCCTATCCTCTTCCAAGTGACTGCATCACATGTGAGAGTCCAGGCAGCACCCTAGCCCTAACAGAAGAGATATGTGTGGGACTTCACAGGTGTTGATCGAGAAGTCCCTGCTGGGGTGGAAGGAATTTGAGCTGGAAGTGATGCGTGACCTTGCGGACAATGTGGTCATCATCTGCTCCATCGAGAACGTCGATGCAATGGGCGTGCACACAGGGGATTCCATCACGGTGGCACCTGTGCAGACCCTCACAGACAAGGAGTACCAGCGTCTGAGGGACGCGGCCATCAAGATCATCCGTGAGATGGGTGTGGAGTGTGGCGGCTCAAATGTGCAGATGGCGATCAACCCCAAGGATGGGGAGATGATGATAATCGAGATGAACCCAAGGGTCAGCCGCTCGTCAGCGCTGGCATCCAAGGCGACAGGGTTCCCCATTGCCAAAATGGCTGCTAAGTTGGCAGTGGGCTACACGTTGGACCAGATACCGAATGACATCACTCAGAAGACCCCTGCTTCATTTGAGCCATCGATCGACTACGTAGTTACTAAGATCCCAAGGTTCGCTTTTGAGAAGTTCCCAGGGTCCCGGCCAGAGCTGACGACGCAGATGAAGTCTGTTGGGGAGGCAATGGCGATCGGCCGCACGTTCCCAGAGTCATTCCAGAAGGCGCTGCGGTCGCTGGAGACTGGGTTGGATGGCTGGTCCCTCCCAAAGAGCTACACAAGGCTTGAGCTGCCTGACCTTGAGAGGAGCTTGCGTGTTCCCAATCCTGAACGCATCCTGGCGATCAAGCAAGCCTTTGGTGATGGACTCACAATGGAGGAGATACAGGTGAGCTCAATGCTCGATGTCATTTGCCAACTGTGACACAACGATGCTATGACACGTTGAGGCAATGATGGGCACATACACAGCCAACATGCACGGCAGCAAATGATGGCTCCAGGCAAAATGAGCTATGGGGTGGTGAACACGTGCACTTCATGATTTGATGCAGTGTGGAGAGCAGATATTAGGCTGTGGTGTGCTGATCTCCTCATTGACTGCAGCTATCGCAACATGAGAATTCAGTCAGTTTGGAACAAAGTCCAAATTAGCCTGAGGGTTGCAAAGCTTGTCATATTGTCTGACGCACAACGTTTATGCGGATTTCATCGATAGAGCAGTGTTTATGCAAATGATGGGTGATGCCCACCCGAGGGCTGCCAAACTGCAGGTGCTGATGGTGCGCCATGCACACAACTTCGTTATCCATGATGTCTGCATTACATCACTGCAAGGGATTGACTGTCCTCTGCAGAGATCGATTGAATGCCAGTGTACCATTCCTGCTTAACCTAAAATCAATATGCCTTCTGCACTGGTACCCTGCATTGAGGTTCTTTCCCAGGGTGCACCAAACACCATGCCAATGAATTCACTGCCAGCATTCCGCAGTTTGCCGTCAGCAGCAACTGGGTCCCCTCCTGTTGGGCGGTTTGCTCGATGTGCCCTTCTGCTAAACCCTGCATTTGCTGCTGCCACAGGCTCTGACCAGCATCGACACCTGGTTCCTGACACAAATGGAATACCTACACAAGATCGAGACCTGGCTTGATGGACAGCAACTGGACGCCCTGCAGGCACAGGACCTCAGGGAACTGAAGCGAGCTGGCTTCAGCGACTCCCAGATCGCCAGGTGCACTGGATCAGACACCATGACGGTACGTAGACGCAGGAAGGCACTGGGCGTGGAGCCATCCATGAAACGTGTGGACACATGCGCAGCAGAGTTTGAGGCTGGCACGCCGTACATGTACAGTTCCTATGATGGGGACTGTGAATGCGAGTCCACCAACAGCCGCAAAGTGCTGATCCTTGGCGGCGGGCCAAACAGGATCGGCCAGGGCATCGAATTCGACTACTGCTGCTGTCATGCGTCCTATTCCCTCAGGAAAATGGGCATCGAGACGATCATGATGAACTCAAATCCTGAGACGGTTTCAACCGACTATGACACAAGCAGCCGGCTATACTTCGAGCCGCTGACAGCAGAAGATGTGCTGAATGTTATCGACAAGGAGCGCCCCGATGGGATCATCATCCAGTTTGGGGGCCAGACGCCACTGAAGCTGGCAACGGCGCTGCAGAAGGCGCTCCAGGAGGAGCCAGTGGCCTGCGCCAGCGGGGAGGGCGTCGTAAGGATATGGGGCACGCAGCCAGACAGTGTGGACGAGGCTGAGGACAGGGACCGATGGATGGCTCTGCTGTCTCGCCTGAACATCCAGCAGCCTCCAGGCGGCATGGCCAGGTGAGGATTGTCTTGTGGACGAAAAGGAAAAGGTGTTGTGCAATCTGCGGCCCCACCACAAGCAAGAATTTTCTTCGACTCCAGTCCACACTGCAGCCACCGGCTCAGAGGACAAACCGGGGACGCTGAGCGCGACAGAATCAACTCAGCGTCGCCCCTCAGAGAGTGTCTGTCATCGTCACCCCACTAAGGGCACAGGTGTTGAAGGGGTGCTTTCCAATCTCTTTGCAAGGCCTGCGTCGAGATTTTGACGAACAGCAGCGCGCTCGCCTCGTCCAGCGGCGCATCAACGTGCGAATCCGATCCCTTGCCAATTCCTTCATTAGTTTTGCCTTTGAAAGACAAAACGGGCCCTTGCACCTTGCAGGCGATGGCGGGCGTGTATGCATCGCAAGCAAAACAAAACGTCGTTCTGTCTTTCCAGTCCATTTGCTTGTGCGCTTGCCGCTGATGGTGCCCCCGCCGCTCCCCCAGGTCCGAGGAGGAGGCCGTGGAGACCGCCAGGCAGCTGGGCTACCCCGTGATGGTCCGCCCCTCCTACGTGCTGGGCGGCAGGGCGATGGAGGTCGTGCACAGCGACGAGGACCTGGTCCGCTACGCCAGCACGGCGGTCAAGGTGGACCCGGACATGCCGGTGCTGGTGGACAAGTACATCCAGGGCGGCACGGAGCTGGACGTGGACGCGCTGTGCGACGGGCGGGGCGGCGCCGTCATATGCGGCATCATGGAGCACATCGAGCAGGCGGGCGTGCACTCCGGGGACTCCGCCTGCAGCCTGCCCGCCCAGACCATCTCGAAGGCCTGCCTGGAGACCGTTCGACGCTGGACGTACGACGTGGCCCGCGCGCTCAAGGTGGTGGGACTCATAAACATCCAGTACGTCATCCAGGGCGACCAGCCGTACATTATCGAGGCCAACCCGCGGGCCTCAAGGACCGTCCCCTTCGTGGCAAAGGCCATCGGCCGGCCCATTGTGTCCTACGCCTCGGCCGTCATGGCGGGCGCCAGCCTGGGCGACCTGGACTTCCAGTCTGAGCCGGAGGTGGCCCACGTGTCCGTGAAGGAGGTAGTGATCCCCTTCGACAAGTTCCCCGGCACGGACACCCTGCTGGGGCCAGAGATGCGGTCCACCGGGGAGGTGATGGGCATCGACATGGAGTTCGACCGCGCGTACGCCAAGGCCCAGATCGCCGCCGGCCAGAGGCTGCCGCTGTCCGGCACAGTGTTCGTGTCTATGCGCGACAACCTGAAGGCGGGGATGCTGCCCACGGCGCGCAGCCTGGCAGGGATGGGCTACCGGCTGGTGGCGACGGCCGGCACGGCCGACTACCTGAGGGGCCAGGGCGTGGAATGCGAGCAGGTAATAACAGCATCAGGCCAACAACAGTAACGGTCCAACAAATGGGCGAACGCATGGAACAGGCGCACATGTGTTGGCCGACCTGTGGGCCTGTGCGGCTCTTCAGACCCACTGGCGGCAGCCCTTCAGGCCCGGATGTGCAGTTGCACGAGCGCTTCGGCGCGGGAACGAAACAAGCAGCGGCGCTTTTGTGGGCGCTGGCATTTTGGACCGAACAGATGTGTTGTCTCGTGTGTGCCAGTGGCATGGCATTCAGTTGTCTCACTTCAATTCGCAATAACAATAGCACACGGACACTTTGGGGACATACAAACGCATGTGTGCTTGTGACCAGCACCCGACATTGCCAATGTGGTGAGAGGGCTGCTGCTTTGTCTTGTAGCAGTTGTGTCCAAACCAGGGATCCAATGTGCACCTGCTGCAACTGCTAAAGCGCCAGACTGGTGACATACTTGTGTGCATGGGCGTCAGGTACTGAAGATCCACGAGGGCCGGCCGAACATATCGGACCTGATGAAGAACGGTGAGGTGCACCTGGCGATGATCACGTCAAGTGGGGACGCGCTGGACCGGCGGGATGGGCGGGACCTTCGGCGGCTGACGCTGGCGCTGAAGATACCGATGGTGACGACGGTGGCAGGCGCAGATGCCACCACCAAGGCACTGCAGGCCATCAGGTCGGGCCCCCTGGACCAGGTGCCCCTGCAGGACTACTACTAGAGTAGTGGGTTGTGGACTGGAGTGCAGAAGCTTATGGCCATGGGTGGCCATTGGGGTGTTCGAACTCTGCGGATCGCAGTTGTCAGAATGCAGTAAGCAAATGGAGTGGTGCGCTGCATAATTTATATATCAAATTTGGTAGGCTGGGCTGAGGACCATTGGAAAACTAGTAGAGCAGCAGTCGGCTTTAGCATTGTGTTGCTTGGTGAATGACAGTTTGTGGGCACAAAATTGCACTGCTGGAGTGCAGGCAGGGTGGTGGTGGCTGGGATACCACTGCTCCCCTCGGGAAGGAGGTCACCCAGCAGGGCAAAGTGCCAAGCAGTGAGGGGGATATAGAGTGGAGAGGGACGCCAGGCTGCGTGCACAGCATGCTCAGAGTAGCTGAGGGTCAGGTGGTTGTGACCTGTCCCTTGCTACAATTGTACGCAACAGTTGTCAGACACCCTTGTTTCGGGGCCATGCATGCAAATGATGGTGAACTTCTGTCTAGCATTTTTCTGCCAGTGGACCCAATGCCATCTTGCAGGCATTGCTTGAGGATCGACCAACATACCCCTGGTTGTCCAGTGCGCCGGCAAGAATGCGCGGGCCATGACTATATCCCCCTGGAGATCGCTGCAAATTATTCATATGTGTGCGTCCACAATAGTGCGGCATCGTTTTAACAGGAACTGCCTCAGTCCACAGCAGGGACAGAAACTGCAAAAAGGCAACAGATGTTTGCACCCTTGAAGGAATGTCCTAGGCAGATGGCATGACACAACAAGACAGATTGCAGCCAATCCAATGGTTGGGCAGGCGCCTCTCACTGTGAAGTCTAAAGGGATTGTGTCACATCTATGGCAGACAGAGTCCAATTTTGCAAGCTGCCAACTTCTGTCAGCAGCCTTCTGTGCCCTCTTCCCAAATCAGTAGTGATGTCCACCCGATTTCGGAACTCCATGGGGCTGTGCTTGAGAGTCTCGATCGGCAGGTGCTCAAGTTGCTCTCACTGCCACAAGATGCCCAGTTGCCTGAATGGCAGAATGCGCACTGTTCATGGCATCACTTGCGTGTTTCTGATTCAGCCGTTGGGAATCCCACGTCATGCATCTGTTGTGGCAAGAAACATAGTGATTCAGGCGATGTTTGGATAGATAAGGAACATGATCATGCAAAGCACAAGCCCCTCCTGATCAAGACCTTATAGGTATCATTGCCACATTGTCAAGCCCTTGAAAACATATGCCAATCAGATAAAGTGGGCACCGGCATCCATCTGGTCAGCAGACATTTTCCTTTCTGCACCAAATGACGTGGAACATTGAATGCATCAGAGCAAGCAAGCAACATTGTACCAGTAATCCTTTAGCTCAGGGCTTGCATTGACACATGGAGAGTGTACGGTGACGTGAAACAAGAATTGGTGCGTATGCCGTGCAGGGAAACTTGCTTGATGTAGAAATAGACGATTGCAAGCTTTCCTATCCAACCAGCAGTAAAAGTGCTCCACCGGATTGGGTGGTGTTGCACAAGTGGACACTTGACTGTGTGCCCTATGAAGGCCCACTGGGCCATCGGACATGCATGACACAGTGAAATATGAAATATGTGAAATATTAATATGAAATATGTGGGGCTATTGGGATGCTGATGATTTCCATATAGTTGACTGTTCAGCAGATGACCTGCGCACTGCGACTGTGATTCCAAGCACACCAAACTACAACAAAACATTCCCAACAATTTAGGAGATGCTTCACAGCGAGTGACTGGCTGCTGCTCAGGTGCTTTCTACCTGTTGGGTGAGAAACACTGACATCCTGTTGCAGATCGCAGTACAAGCGTGCACAACCTCTGAACATGGTCCTTGCTAGGAAATTTTGCTGCCTTAGTCAAGGCAGCGCTTCAGAGTTTACAAGATCGACAAGATTCTACAAGTACATACACTTGTCACCAGTCACTGGATATAACCTTGTTACAAGTGCTATCTGAGTGCAATTCTGTGCAAAAGGTGATGTTGAACAAGCGGAACCAGCACCCAAACGACTGAAAACGAATGCATCAAGCCATGTTGAATGCCAACCAATAATGAGCCAACTTCATTGGGGCAACCAGAGTGTTGGCAATGAGGACAATTGTGCAATTCAGAAAGCAGATCATTGCCCCTGCCCTGCCACCAACTGTTGGTTTTTGGCGATGGAGTTGGACGGAATCGCATTCACAACTGAATCTCGAGGTTTCAAGAAGTGCCTCTTTATAGTACTAAGGCAATAAGTAGTCAATTCTACATGCGAACACCACACATTTCAAGGAGAAGACTGACAAGCACAAGTGCATCAGGCTTCGCATCAGCGAACAATATGCAACTGCAAGGAAGGCGCGAAGACATGCCGCGCGAAGACATGTGAAGACATGCGAAGACACGCTCTTGGGACCTTTTCCAAGGACCATTCCAACGCCATTCCATTGCCACAACGGGGCAGACAGCGACCCAAACAGGCACAACATTGCCGTATGAACGAAAAGGACAGCTATCCCGCTATGCCTCCCCCCCCGTCCCACCGGGCCCACACCCCACACCCCCACATTTGCTCAGTTTGGTTGGGACATTGGCCTTTTCTGGAGTTCGCCCTCCTCCCATTCCGCAAATGGCCACGTGCCTGATATCGCCGTGCGGGCGGTAGGGTTGTGCACCTTAACTTTGCGATGAAATGCAATCAATCGATTCACAAATCCGCACGCCATGCCCTCCGCATGATCTGCCGCCAGACTCCCCCCCTCCCCGCAGCATATCACGAACAAGTCCCCGAGCACAACGCGAACCACACACGCCACGGGCGCCCCGAGCGCGCGGCGCGCCCGCCCGCACCCCCACCTTGCTTTTCCCCCAAGCCGGTCGATCACTGCTTCAGCGCCGGCCCCTCCGCATCCTGGGGCTTGTCCTCGTACGGGTCGTAATTCAGGAAGCTCCGGATCTCCCTCCCCTCAGGCACCTCCCACGGCTTCCAAACCGCCATCTTGGGGATCAGCCCCAGCTCGTCCTTGCTCTGCTGGATCATCTCCTCCAGCTGCGCGCCGAAGGCCTCCTCGAGCGCCTCGTCAGTGTCGTGCTCCTTGATCAGGCCCAGCCTGTGGTCGCAAGTCTGCTCCACGACCTTCCTGTACTCCGCATTCTCCGGGATCAGCTCCCCCACCAGGCGCTTTACCTCCTGCAGAGATTCCGCCAGCGCCACGCGCGCCTGGGGCACGGCCTCCAGGCCCACGATGCCCGTCTCGATTTTGCATCCGCGGGCCTGGCCCAGGGAAGAGCGCAGGGAGGGGCCCGCAGACACCAGCAGGCGGCGCAGCATCCTGGGGGGTGGGGGGGGATCGGGGGCGGGAGGAAGGGCGGGTACCCCCGCACGTTCCACTGGAGGCGAGCGATGGGGCGGGCGGCGTGGCTGGTAGACTTGGTGAAGTTGAGTACGTGTGTGTGTTTGTGTTGGTGTCTTTGGGCCCGCAGCTCATCGGAAAATTTCCTTTCTCGACCTGGCGTTGGAATTTGGTCCGAAGCAGCCGAGGAATGCTGCATTTCGCAGTTTCCGTTCGCACAGAGTGTCTGGGACAAATGCGCGGGGATGTGAAGATGACTCCACCGCCGTTGACGCGCCTGGACCTCGTTTTTCTGGACACAAATGAAACTATATTGGGGAAATTTTTTGACAAATGAAATAATTTGTTGAATTAGTAGCACATTAAGCTCTGCTGATCGACGCAGAATGGAAGTGTCTTGCTTCGAAGCTGGACGCGCGTCGACAGCTCAAGACGGCCGTACTTTAGGCGCTGCCTGCACAATAAAGAGACCTGGAAGTTGGTGCAGGATTCGCAGTAGCGTGGCCCCCACAACAGCAACTAACTTTCCCGTTCCTGGCGATCAGTGTGTACTAGAAGCTTCCCACAGGGCATGCCAGCGCTGTGCGTGCACGACCCAAGGGCCTTCCTGTGGGAAATGGCAAGAGCAGCCTGCCTGCAGCAAGAAGCTGCACAATGGTGGACCACACAAGACGGTGGGACAGACCTGCAGATAGGATGGAACACAGGGGCGCAGGAAACGCGGTGATGGGGGTTTCAGACGAGGTCGGTTTGGCAAAAGCACCTATTGTAGAGGACGTGGATGTGACGATCAGAGCCGTTCCCGCTGCAGCACCCACGTTCAACAGTTTACAGTCGTCACAACAACCATGGCAGCATCCAAGGCGAGTGGTCCCTGGACCGACGACACCTACCTCATTTGAGAAGCACATGGATCCTTGCTCGAGATCCCATTCCTGGGCTGTTCCCCTCATGCTGGACATATGTGATCACCAATCCCTGGATCGGTGGCGCCCGCGGCCTCAGAAAAGAGGCCGCAGCCATCGTCTGCGATCCACGGTGGCGTGTGATCCAAGACAATTCCCCACCTGACTTAACATGTGTTCTGATGTGAGCTCCCGCCTCTCCTGCAGTCGGCTGCGACCCCGATCCACCAGTATCAGCGAAAGGCCTTGCATTCCACACCCGCACCATCGCACGCAGACGTGCACCCCTTCCCTCCCTCACACCCAGGGGACAACGTCACACCCACCACAGTTCTCGCACCCATCGAGCACTCCCGCACTGGGGCCACGCACAAACCCATCTCAATCTCTTTTCCAATTTGTACTCTTCAAAAGGCTGGGCACCCGCGCAGCTTCTTCAAGAGAAATTTTGTGTATAATTTCAAAGATTTTTATGAAATTCTGAGAAACTTTAAAGGATATAAAAATCTTCTGCTTTTAGAGCACAACGACCCGTCGCGCCGCGCCACTGCCCCGCCTCACTCCCCCGCCTTCGCCTCCCCTCGGAACCGCTCTAGGAACGCCCAGTAGTCGACCTCGCCCTCGGCCGGGCCCCCCGCCACGTCATCAAACTCCGTCGGCGTCAATACCACTCCCAGCACCGCGCACGCCGCCGCGAACTCCTTCCTGGGCAGGCGGCCCGCCTTGGCGTCGTCCAGG